GTCTTCATTAACCTCAGCTCCCTCCCCACTTGCTTGCTTACAGAAGCTGGGGGTGCCATGATTCTGTCCCCCAAGTCCTTATGAGAATGCCCCTTATGACCTCATAGTGACACTAAATTTGACATCATAAAGAGAACATTTCCCGTGAGCTCCGTGCAGCCACCATGTTGTAAAAACTAAGATGTCAGACTCGAAGTGTGGGGTGTGACTTTGTCTTTCCCTGGATCTGCATGTGGAGAGGACGGAGAGTGGGTGCACACAAGCCACATCTGAGCTACTGCCACACTGAAGCACCCAATGGCCACGAAAGGCACGAGGTTGAAATCCACAAAAGAGGGAAGTAGAACACTAAACAGTGGGTTTTTCTGAAGTACGTTAAGTCAGGAGTCAAACTGATCATGGTAAAATGTTATAATGTTGCTTAGTATTCTGTGGTATTGATTCACAATTGTGCCATACTTGGCAAATTTGGAGAGCTATCTTCAGACTTCTAATGGGGTATTTTTTCCAGGGAGAGAAAAACCTAAAGGACTTTCATGTTGTTGATTGAGACTGATCTTTTTTTTCTTCTAAAAGTTTATGTGACATATAGCTGTATTTCGAGAGGTGATTTTATTTCTTAAAAATTTCTACAAGCTTCATTCTGTTTTCAAAGTTCAGTCCTCCCACCTTTCAGCCCACTGTCTGGTTCCTTCTCTTTGACAAGAATTGTTTAGAAGCCACATGTGGAATTCATGTGGTTGTTAAGTAGCAAGATTGGACTGTGCAGTTTCTTAACTTTCTTTCTCTTCAGTTTTCTAAATCTTTGCCCATTGTTTGTTTGTTTTAGCCTTTGATGGTTTAATTACCAAATTAAATATATGTAGTTTTAAAAAAATGAAACAATACAGTACAAAGTAAAAGTCCTATCTACCTTCTTCGCTTGTCTTGAAATCTCAATTTTTAGAAGTAACCCCTATTGATAGTTTCAAACCTATTTTTTAAATTTTTCCATTATTTTAAAAATAAAGCGTTTCAGATAAAGTTGCAGCCCCCTGTGAAACCCCTTTTTGTTCCACTTTCCATTCCTCCTTTTCCAGAGATAAACCCTAGCATGAGTTTCCATATCTATTTTATTTATTTATTTATTTATTTATTTATTTATTTATTTATTTTGAGACGGAGTCCATTCTGTTGCCCAGGCTGGAGTACAGTAGTGCAATCTCGGCTCACTGCAACCTCTGACTCCTGGGTTCAAGCGATTCTCCTGCCTCAGCCTCCCATGTAGCTTGGATTACAGGCACCTGCCACCTCCCCCAGCTAATTTTTGTATTTTTAGTAGAGACAGGGTTTCACCATGTTGGCCAGGATGGTCTCGATCTCCTGACCTCCTGATCCACCTGCCTCGGCCTCCCAAAGTGCTGGGATTACAGGGGTGAGCCGCCGCGCCCAGCCTATTTTAATATTCCTAATACAAAAGCACTAAAACATTGCCCTACAGGTTTAAAACTTTATAGAAATGGTATTACATTGGAAGCACCATTATGAAACTTACTATTTGTTTTAACATTATGTTTTTGAGATTTTACCTATCTTGATTTATTTTTCCTCCTCTATTTTGCCATTAAGTGCAATACCATTTTTTGTAAATACGAATATATTTGAACTTTTTTTAACCTCTTATTTTTTATGCTTTCTGTTAAATGTCAATTTTCTTCTTTCCTGCCTTTTGTTGGATAAAGCTGTCTATATTCCCTTTTCGCTGCCCCCCGACAGCTTGTGTGCAAACAGTAGATTGTATTTTTATTCCTTTAGTGATCATTTAAAAAGTTTTAATGTACACAACAATTTTTTTTTTTTTTTTTTGAGACAGAGTCTTGCACTGTCACCCAGGCTGGAGTGCAGTGGCGTGATCTTGGCTCACTGAAACCTCCACCTCCTGGGTTCAAGCGATTCTCCTGCCTCAGCCTCCCATGTAGCTTGGATTACAGGCACCTGCCACCTCCCCCAGCTAATTTTTGTATTTTTAGTAGAGACAGGGTTTCACCACATTGGCCAGGCTGGTCTTGGACTCCTGACCTCAAGTGATCCACCTGCCTCGGCCTCCCAAAGTGCTGGGATTACAGGCATGAGCCACTGCACCTGGCCAACAATTTTTTTAACTGAGTCTCAAGGTATTCTGTATTTTTATTCTCCTCCCAAACACAATGGGGGATTTTAGTACCTTTTAATTAGTCATTAAAAACCTTTCCCCCAAAAATCTTATCACTGTGATTTAGAGTTTCACTTTTGCCTTTAGAACATATACAGTAATCTTTTTCAACTTTCAAGAGTTAAATTTTTTAACAGTTTCAGCTATATGTCTCTTTATATCTAAAAAGCACCTTTAGTTTTCTCTTCACTGTTGAATGATAGTTTAGCTGGATATAAAGGTCTCTGTTAACTGTAAATTCCCCTTAGGAAATAAAGATATTCTTTTCACATATCTATTATCTGATACATATACTACTCCTTTATACAGTCTGTTTTGTTTGAGTTGCTTTTAAGATTTTCTTTTAGATTCAGTATGTTGCAGTCTTATGATGATATGTCTATGTTTGGATTTATTTTTAGTCTTTTGTTGTGGGCTGATTTTTGATCTGAGGACTTATTTCTTTTATTAAACTCTAGAAAACTCAGCTATTGTGGTTTCAAATGCTGATTATCTAACCATCCTTCTATTCTATTCTTTTAAAATGTCTATTAATATATATTGAAGTTTCTCAATCATCAACTAGTTAACTAAATTATTTTTGTCTCTCTGTGCTATATTCTGGGGAAAGTCTTCAGTATTATCTATCACCCAGTTCACAAGTTCTTTTTTAAAATTTTGTCTAGCCTAGAATTTATTCTATTAAGATTATTTTTGTTTCAATTACGACGTCTTTTCTTCCAAGATAAATTTTTTTTCTTGTTTTTTTTTTCCCCATCCATTTCTTCTTATGGCACTTTAGTAAGTTTTTTTGTACTTTTATATGGCTATAACATCTTTGAACAACCTAATAATAAATAAACAATTTTAATCATAATTAATTTAAAGTCATTGTTAGAGGGTTCATAAAATTAATTTATTATCATGTGAATTGACATTCTGATTGTTAATTTGCTCATCTATGATTTTGGCATTTTTTGGTGTGTACTTGGGAATTCTAGTATGTTGGCTCATTTTCACAAGATTCTTTAAAAATCTGCCTTTTCTCTTTCTCATTCTATTTGGCAGTTGCCTAAATCTATCCACTTGATCCATTCCCCAAACCTCATAGGCGTTTACAGCTCTTGTTCCATGGTGATGTTGTAGATATCACAGATTCAAAGAGTGCCTTGATTTAGGTCTTGATTGTGAGGCTACATCAGTGTCCTCTCTCGCTAGGCAGGACCTTCTTCTTTCAGGGGTGAGAGACCCTCATACCAGTGCTGACGTCAGGCATTGAGCCTGACATAGGCCTTTGCTTTTCAGAACACTCCTAGTCCCACTAGCTTTCTGGAAGTTGAACTCCCACTGCCCTGCCATCTTTGGACGCACAGCTTAACAAGCCCCCAGCTTCAGCCCTGCCCATATGTTTACATTTCTGCTCAGCTTTTTGTCTCTAGAAATCTATCAGCATGTGTCCTTTTCTTTCTTTTGTTTTCTTTCTTCTTTCTTTCTTTCTTTCTTTCTTTCTTTCTTCTTTCTTCTTTCTTTCTTTCTTCTTTCTTCTTTCTTTCTTTCTTTTTCTTTCTTTCTCTCCTTCCTTCCTTCCTTCCTTCCTTCCTTCCTTCCTTCCTTCCTTCCTTCCTTCCTTCCTTCCTTCCTTCTTTGTATTATTTTCTTAAACATAGCAACAACAATAACATCATTGTATCATTTTGGAGGCAAGGGGAAACATGAAACCTTAAACTGTGTCACCTCGATTAAAATTTAAAATTTACTTCTTAAAAATAGTTCCCCACGTTTCTGAAATGCCCACGTGCTCCTCACGGGTGGAATCATTTTGAAGCCATGATAGTATAGCTTGGCATTTTCCTGTTAGGCTTTTTTGCATTTTTAAAAAATATTAATATATGGAATATACCTTTTGGGAACATGCATTTATTCCTTTATCAACAAACATTTGTTGAGGGCACACTGTGTGCCAGGTACTATTCTAAGTGATAGGAGTCCAGAAGTGAACCACACAGAATTTCTTGTCTTATGGAACTTACATTCTGATAGAGAGAGGTAGGTAATATGCAGACAGGTAAACATAAAGTTACAGTTACTATTAAGATTAAAGAGGAGTTTGGAAAAACGGTTGAAGGAGGGTTTCAGTTCTAGAGAAGATGAGGGAAGCATCCGTCACCCTGTTTCTCCCTTTGAATACAACTGTAAATCTTGGCTAGAATACATGGAGAAGCTAACAGTGAACTTTGAAATTGAAAGGGTCCCCCCAAAATCGGGGAAGGAGACCAGAATTTGAAGTTCCACCAAACCAATACATTTTCCATCTTTCCCCACCGGAGCTGCATGGCGTGAAACCAAAGATATCCCAAAACCCAGAAGTAAGTACCAGGTGCAGAGAGAAAGAACTCAAAAAGAAGCCTCATTTATTGATCACTAAGCATTCTTTGACATGTATAAGAATCTCTTATCAGAGATCACACCATTGCACTCCAGCCTGGGCTACAAGAGCGAAACTCCATTCTGATTAAAGTTTCCTGAAAACTTTTGGTGGTTGTTGTTTGGGGTGTGTGTGTGTGTGTGTGTGTGTGTGTGTGCATGTGTGTATGTGGTGGTAGTGGTGATTTCTAAAATATATAGTTTTAAACATTGAAAGGTAAAGGTTAGCAATGATATCTCTGATTCTTTTTCTCTGTGATTTACTGTGTTTTCTAATGGTCTACACTTACCATATATTGACTTTATAGTCAGAGAAAACATATTGTACAGCTATGTAGATATATTTTCGAAGGCACGCGTTAACCTATCAAGTGACACTTTCCTTTCCTTTGCCATTGACATGTAGGTGTTCCCTCTGGCACATGTGTGCAACGACACAAATAAGATGACATTAATCAACCCCCAAGGAGCCAAACTCAATATCTACAAGCAAAAAGTGGAACAGGCAATTCAAACCTATGAAAAGTGAGTATTACTCTTGGCTGCTCTTTAATGGATGTGGAATTTATTATATGGAGGAGGAGACTTCTCTTGTTTTAGTTCAGTTTTTTTTTTTTAAATGAAGCAGCTATTTAAAAATTGTTCAGGCTGGGTGTGGTAGTTCATGCCTGTAATCCCAGCACTTTGGGAAACTGAGGCAGGAGGCCAGCTTGAGGTCAGGAGTTTGAGACCAGACTGGGCAACAATAGGGAGACCTTTTCTCTACAAAAAATTTAAAAAATGATATCACAACAGGGTGATTGTAATCAACAATAATTTATTGTACATTTAAAAATAATTAGAAGAGTATAATTGGAGTATTTGTAACACAAAGGAAGGATAAATGCTTGAGGTGATGGATACCCCATTTACCCTGATGTGATTATTATATATCGTATGCCTGTATCAAAATATTTCATGTCACCCACAAATATATACACCTACTGTGTACACACAAAAATAAAAATACGATTCTGTGATGAAAAATAAATAAATAAATAAATAAATATAGGCTGGGTGTGGCGGTGCACACCTGTAGTCCCAGCTACTTGGGAGGCTGAGAGGGGAGGATTGCTTGAGCCCAGGAGTTGCAGGCTGCAGTGAACTGTGATTGCACCACTGCACTCCAGCCTGGGTGATAGAGTGAGACCTTGTCTAAAAAAAATTGCTCGTAAGGAATATAAACAACAGTGGCAGCAGCTAATGTAGGGGCTTCCTACATGCTAGGCACTGCATCAAGTACTTTACCTGAGTATCTTCAACAAGGTTTTAAAGAAACCGTCTTCCCTTTCCAAAATCCATAAAAATCTCATGTTTCCATGAGATCTGTAAAGTTTTCCTTTTAGCAGAATGCATCTGATTATTTTGGCATCTAACATTCTATAAAGTGACTAATAAAACTTGACAGTAATGAGATAATGGAAATAACAGGTTTTTTTTTTTTTTAATTTTAAAATTACTTTTATCAAGTTCAAGATGATGATCAAGTTGACGACAGTGAAAATCGCCCGTGTGGCCTTGCTGAGACAGGAGACTCTGCTCACAGGCTGGTCCTTGTCCATGCTGTAACCATCTCTCTCCCCGGTCCCCAGCCTTTAATTAATCCTGGGTGCACAAACTTAAACTCCGAGCGTTCAGCTTCGTCAGGCCAGCCTGTCCTCGGTTCTGGGAGCTGTGCGGTAGGGTTGTCATTTGCCACCACGTGGGCAGATGAAATAAAGCTCAGGGAAGTTAGCGATTGGCCCAGGCCAGCATGTGTTGGTCTGCTGTCGTTTTGCAGTATGTCTGGTATGTGCTCAGTCGAACAAATATAAGGCCTGATCCTGCCTCATGAAGGATCATTCCAATGGCAGGCCTCGCCCCACTGTGCCCATCCCAGGCCTCTCCAAACCCCCTTTAACGTGAGCCTCCATCACCGCCCTCACCCGAGAGTGGAGGCCGCCTTACCAGGCTCCTCAGCAGCCTCCGTGGACTCCTCAGTATTTCTGAATCTTTACCTGAGAGGAAAGAAGAACCAAGGATGAGTGTTCCTTTGGGAAGCAGGATGGGCTATTCAAGGTTCACCCTTCCCTGTGGTCCGGAGACTTCCAGACAGGCCTTGCCTCCCAGCTCGGCTCCTCTCCCATTACGCTGCTGTCCCCAGCTGGGTCTTTCATCCTTTCGCGCCTCAGCACCGATGACCCTCCTCAGAGATGCCTCTCGGGAGCTCCTCTCCGCGCCCACCCTGCATGTGGCCCTCAGAGCACTCACAGCTTCTGCAGGGGTGCTGGCTTGGTGACCGTCTCTGCCCTCTGGGATGTCAGCTCCCAAGACCAGGGCTCAGCCAGCCTTGCCTCGTCCTGTATCCCCTATTCCTAGCAGGTGTCCGTATGTATATGACTATTCAAATTTAATTCAAATTTTATGTAATTCAATTCTTCAAACCCAATCATTCAAAATGCAGTATAACAATACCATTCACATTCTAATGTCGTTTGCTTGAATAATTCAAATATTTGAGTCCTATAATTACCCGGCCTGTGAAAGCCTGATGCAGGGCCACGAGTGAGATAGAGCCGTGCGGTCAGACGGTTCACGGGGGTTTCCTGCTTGGTTCTGACAGCAGCTGTGTTCCAGCGTGTGACAGTCCTGGGCCTCGGATTCCTTGTTCACAGCATCTGTCTCACAGGCCTGTTGTGAGGATTACGTAAATCATGTATAAAGAGGAACTGATGTTCATGACTTCCCCCTTCGCTCCTGACTCTGCTGACGCTGAAATAACCATAGGTGCACGGAGCGAAATCGTCATCTGGTTCTTCCCACTGCAATGACCTTTTCCCAAGAATTTCAGGAAAGGTCAGGGACCCCCTTCCCAGGCAAAAGAGAGGCCTCTTTTCTTAGCAGCAAAACCAAAACAAACATAGTCATTTGTCTTCCTTCTTACTTTCAGTGAGTGAATGTGAATCTGGAAAAGCCTTTTAGTACCCTCTAGAGAAATATTGTCTCTATATTGTTATTAATTATATTAACTTCAAATTATTAATAACAATTTTAACATGATTGATATTATTTAATAATTAAGTTATTGATTGAATTGTTATTTGGTATCACTCATTTGATGTTGGTATCAAGTAAATTATTTAACATTGTTATTTAATAATATTAATCGTAACATGAATATTATACAGAACCAAATTTCCTGGTCATTTGCATTCACTAGTGAACAAATGTCAATTTCTTTTTCCATTTTGCTTCACTTTTCTCAAGATATTCAGAATATGAAAAGTAATTAATGACACATTTACCACCCCCATCCCCAATATAACATTTCTAAGGAGTTTCCCAGCAAAGATAAGCAACATGTAACTTTCAAAACAACCTTCGTGTCATCATAAATCCATCTGTTTAGGGATGGCCAGGCAAATGGAAAGCTCACAGTCCTTTGGTCAAAATAATGACACAAACTTATTATTGGGGGTCACACTTAGTGCCCATGCATGGAGTCCTTTCGTCTCATTTTAAGAATCCAGGCGGCAAGTTTGGCTTTGTGTGTCTGAGTATAAGCTTTGAGTGGATATTGCCAGGGCTGGCTGGATTCTGGAGTGATTTTTCTGCTGCTTACTTTCATGGAAAGTCTAAGGCCAAGGTCACAGCTCTCAGATCACAGAAGCAGCATCCGTTCTAGCCTGGCTCAGGGACCATGCTTAGAAACCTCTCCTTACCGTCTCCGATTTGCTGGGCCGGCTGCTCCTCAGCCTTCTGAAGTGTCACTAGTTACAAGTTGCTTTGCAAATGAGTCAACTCTTGGCACAAGCCGATTTGAGAATTAGAGATACAGAAAGTTGGTGAATGCAATCCCTCAGCCAGATTTCACTCTCCTACAAAAAACGAAGAGGGAAACCGTTGTTAGTAAAATCCCTGAACCGTGGGGCTGGACCAGCCGCGGAGAGGCCCTCAGGTCCAGTGCCTGGCCCAAATCCCACAGGGACTCCCGCATCCCACATTCTGACTGGCTTTCCTGCAGTGGCCTCCCTGGTCGGTCAAGCCATTGAAGTATTTTAGCGAAGATGGAAAACAGGGCAATGGTAACAAAGGCTATAAAAATGTGTTCCTGGAAAAATATGTTCTAAAGAAGTGAATTAAAATTAGACACCTGTGCTAGCAAACTGGACACATTTACCAGTGATAACTCAGCATTTCTAAGCCTTGCTTTTCAGAATCTGGAGGGAATAAACATTGAGCTATTCCGGCGACTGTATGTACGCATCTCTCTTAATCCTCTCAAGGATTCCAAGGGCAGGTGGTGTCAGCCTTGTGTTATCAATGAGAAAACAGTTTCCAAAGGCTATGTAGCACAGGATCACACAGCAGCAAAGTGAGGCCACCAAGGTTTGACCCCAGAGCCCTTACCCACACTCCCAGCCTCCCCACCACACTGCCTCCACTCTCAACATTTACATTTAAGGGGATTGTGAATGGGGTTTTTGTTTGTTTGTTTTTCAGAGAAGCACACACACACAAAATACCTAAAATGGATACTATAAATCCTTTTAACCAGTCTTAGAAGCCTTAATCATTATTACCTGAATCACATGACTCAAGAAAGCCAATTTCCAAATAGGCCCCAAAGAACCAGACATCTCAAGTGAGACAGAAGCACTGAGCTGGCTTATTTCCCTCTTCCTGACTCTTTTTCTGTCACTTACAGCACACTTACCTGGATCAGACACAATTTATGTGCTGTGTACACACTAGCTCAGGTCCCCATGGCGACACTAGGAGTGGAGCGGTACTATTACTATCCCCCCTTTACCGAGAAGTTGGGCACTGGCCCCAAGCCTCACGGCAAGAAGGAGAAGCAGCCGACTGAGCTTTGGGCCCTGGCATTGTGGCTCCTGAGTCCACCCTCTTCACCACCATGCAGACGCCCTTTCTATGTTCTCACCAGGCTCACGATGGGAGGGCAGAACAGGAGAATGCGGCCACCCGAAATGTGTCCTCTGAGCCCTGTCCCGCCGACGCTGGGTCTGGTGGTTAGAAGAATGCCTCCTAAAGAGCAGCAGCATTCTCCTACCTCGTTGTATGGAAGCAGTGTTTTTGTTTTTTGTTTTTTGTTTTTTTTCAGACGGAATCTCGCTCTGTCACCCAGGCTGGAGTGCAGTGGCGTGACCTCGGCTCACTGCAACCTCCTCCTCCTGGGTTCAAGCTATTCTCCTGCCCCAGCCTCCAGAGTAGCTGGGAGTACAGTCGGCCGCCACCATGCCCAGCTAATTTTTGTATTTTTTTTTTTTTCAGTAGAGACAGGGTTTCACCATGTTGGCCAGGCTGGTCTCGAACTCCTGACCTCAGCTGATCCGCCCGTCTCGGCCTCCCAAAGTGCTGGGATTACAGGCGTGAGCCACTGTGCCCGGCCGGAGGCAGTATTTTTTAATGGAACATCAGCTCACAACCCCCGGAGCCAGTGTTCTGTGCCCTGCAGCTCAGACAGCTTGCTTTCGGGTGATGATGTCCTGACACAATGACACAGAACTGGGCTGGGACTCTGAAGAAGCAACACTGATTAGTAGCCGAAAGAGCAGCTATAGCTACCCTGTAGGAACCACTAGCTCCAACCTCCTTCTTTGCTCTCAGGTCGACAGCTTCCCTCTGAAAACGTGGTCAGTCTCAGCACCGCCAGCGAGCAGCCATGGGTGAGCAAGGTGCTTCATCCAGCTGCCCCTCCCGGCAGCCTCCTTTGGAAAACAAGGCCGCCAGGCCGCTTGATCTCTAAAGTGTGTCCAATCCCATTGTTTATGACCCTGTTAACCTCTTTTGATCTGAGAATCCAGGCGGAAGAGTGGCTACAGAAAGCGAACTAAAGAACCCAGTTATGTTTCCATAAGAAGAAAAACGGTGGGTGTTTAGAAACGGTTTAAAACAGAGATAACAAAGACCAGTTTGTCAATTGCCTTTACTCAGTCTGAGTTTTACCTGACTGAGCTGGGGACTGAGCCCTCCTTTAATATTTGACACGATTGCCACAAAACCATGAGGCTGCTGCAGTGGTGCTGAGGTGACACATCCAGTGTCTTTAAGCACCTGACAGTGGCCTGGCTCAGTGGGGATGATGCTTAGATGGGCTCCCACTACAGCCTTTTGCCATGAAATGAAGTATTGCTACTAAATTATTGTTGACTTTTTTTTTTAACAGGCGCTTGAATAAAATTGTTTGGCGAGCATTATCTCAAGAGGAAAAAGAAAAGTAAGCCATTCCATTCCCTCCTCACTTTTTTTTTTTTTTTTTGGTGAAATTCACGTAACCTAAAATTAACCATTTTAAAGTGTACAACCCAGAGGTGTTTAAAATAGTCAAACTATTCTGCAAACCACTACCTTTTTCTAGTTTCAAAACTTTTTCATTTCCCCAGAAAAACACTTTGTACCCATAAATTTGTCACTCCCCATTCCTGTCTCCCCCTTTTCCGGGTTACCACGAGTCTGTTTCCCATCTCTGATTTTGGCTACTCTGGATATGTCATATGAAGGGAATCATACAGCAAGTGACCTTTCGTGTCTGGCAGCTTTTACTTAGTTAATGGAAAAACCTTATGTTTTCAAGGTCCACACAGGAATCAGTACTACATGTGTATATATACATCACATTGGTCTGCCCATTCTTCCACTGACAGGCATTTGGGTGGTTTCTGCTTTTTTGCTGTCATGAGTAATGTTGCCATATGCATCTGTGTAGAAGTTTCTTTGTGGACATATGTTTTCATTGCTCTTGGGTATACACCTAGCAGTGAATTTACTTGTCACATGGTAATTCTATGCTTAGCTTTTTGAGGAACCACCAAACTGTTTTCCACAGTGGCTATGCCATTTTTAGAACATATCTATTTTTATTGACCTATAATAATTGTAAATATTTTGGGGTACATGTGATATTTTGACACTTGCACACATGTAATGATCAAATCAGGGTGTTTAGGCTATTACCTCAAACATTTATTATCCCTTTGTGTTGGGAACGTTTTAAGTTGTTCCTTTCAGCTATTTTGAAGTACGCAATAAATTATTGTTAACTCTGGTCACTCTACTGTGTCATCAAGTGCTACAACTTCTTCCTTCTACCTAACTGTATGTTTGTATTCATCAACCAACCTCTCTTCATCTCCTCTGCCACCACACACACTCTTCCCTGCCTCTGGTAACTATGATTCTATTTTCTGCCTCCATAAGATCAACTTTTTTTTTTTTTTTGACTCCTACATATGGGTGAGAACTATTTGTCTTTCCATCCCCGGCTTATCTCACTTAATGTCATGACCTCCAGTTCCATCCACGTTGCTGCAAATGATAGGCTTGTGTTCCTTTTTTGGCTGAATAGTATTCCACTGTGTGTATAGACCACATTTTCTTTATCCATCCATCCACTGATGGACACTTAGGTTGATTCCATATCTTGCTGCAATAAACATGAGGGTGCAGGTGTCCCTATGATACATACTGATTTACTATCTTTGGATAACTGTCCAGTAATGAGATGGCTGGATCATGTGGTAGGTTCTTATTGCTCCACATCCTCACCAATACTTGACATTTTCCTTTTTTTTTTTTTTTTTTTTAAGTCATCCTCATGGGTGTGAAAGGCTATTCTATTGTGGTTTTGATACACATTTTCTTAATGACCAATGACGTTAAACATCTTTTCATGTGCTTGTTGTCCATTTGTATATCTTCTCTGAAGAAATGTTGATTCAAGTTCTTTGTCCATTTTCAAATTGGGTTGCGTTTTTGTTGGATAACTTCTGAGGATGAAGTCATTGTCAGATATCTGATTTGCCAGTATTTTCTCCCATGCTATGGGTTATCTTTTCACATTCTTCATGATGTCCTTGGATGTCCAGAAGTTTTAGGAAGTGAATGCATCTTTTTTTTCTTTTGTTTGTGTTTCTGGTGTCAAATCTAGGAATCCAATGCCAAATACAAAATCATGAGCATTTATCCTTTTGTTTTCTTCTAATACGTATATAGTTTTAGGTCTTACATCTGGGCTTTTGATCCATTTTTGAGTGAATTTTTCTATCTGGCGTGAAGTAGGGTTCCAGCTTCATTCTTCTTCATGTAAATATCCAGTTTATCCAGCACTATTTATTTAAGAGACTATATCTTTCCCTTTGAATGGTTTTGGCACTCTTGTCGAAAGTCATCTGATCATAAATGTTTGGGTTTATTTCTGGACTGTCTATTCCACTGGTCTATATATGACTATCTTTATGCAAGTTGACACTGTTTTAATTACTGTAGATTTGTATTAAGTTTTGAAATTAGGAAGTATGAGTCCTTCAACTTTGTTCTTCTATTTCAAAATTGTTTGGGCTATTCAGGGCCCCTTGAAGTTTTGTATAAATTTGAGGATTGGCTTTTCTGTTTCTGAAAAAAAAAATTGGAATTTTTATAGGCATTATATTTAATCTAAAGATTGCTTTGAAGAGTATTACCATTTTAACAATATTGTCTTCCAGTCAATGAACATAGGATGTCTTTCCATTTATTTAGTGGGTGTTTAATTCCTTCAGCAATGTTATATAGTTTTCAGTATACATGCCTTTCACATCCTCTGTTATTTTGTTCTTTTGGGTGCTATTATAAATGGGATTGTTTTCTTAACGTCATTTTCAGATTGTTCATTGCTGGTACATAAAAACATAGCTGAATTTTGTATTTGACCTCGTACCTTGCAACTTTGCTGAATTTATTGATACTAGTGGCTTTGTGTGGAATCTATGGAGTTTTCTATATATAGAAACATGTCATCTGCAAGTAGAAATAATTTTACTTCTTTCTTTCTAATTTGGATGCCTTTTGTTTCTTTTTCTTGCCTAATTGATCTAGCTAGTACTTCTAGAACAACATTGAATGGCAGTGGTGATAGGGGACATGCTTGTCTTGTTCCCGATACCAGTGAGAAAGCAAGGAAATTCCCTATATTCCTAGTTTTCTGATTGTTTTTATCATGAAAAGTGTGTGTTAAATTTTGTCAGGTGCTTTTTCTGTATATATTGAGATGATCATTTTTTTTTCCCTTTGCTCTACTAATGTGATGTATTAAATCATTTGATTTTCTTAAGTTGAACCACTCCTGCATTTCTGGCATAAATCCTACTTAGTCATAGTGTATAATCCTTTTAATGTTCTGTTGGATTTGATTTGCTAGTGTTTTATTAAGAATATTTATGTCCATATTTATAAAGAAAATGGTCTTTTGCTAGTATTTTATTAAGAATATTTATGTCCATATTTATAAAGAAAATGGTCTGTAGTTTTCTTTGGCATGTTTGTCTGGCCTTGGTATCAGGGTAATTCTCTTCTTGTTGACTGTTAAGAAGTATTCCCTCATCCATTTTTTGAAAGAGTTTGAGCAGTATTGTTGTTAATTGTTTGGTAGAATTCATCAATGAAGGCAACTGCTTCTTAACTTCCCTTTTTTTGGGGGGGTGGGATTTTGTTTTCTTATGCAAAGTATTTAATTGTTATATTGGCTGTTGAGATTATCTATTTCTTCTTGAGTCATTTTGGTCATCTGTTTCTAGGAATTTGCGGATTTCATCTAGATTATCTATTTTTGGCATAGAACTATTCATGGTATTCGCTATAATTCTTTTGATTTTTGTAAGCTGAATTAGTAACGTGCCTGCTTTCACTTCTGATAGTAGTAATTATGTGTTTTTTCCTTTCAGTCAATCTAACTGAAGATTTGTCAATTTTGTTGATATTCTTAAGGAACATGCTTTTAATTTTGTCGATTCTCTCAATTGTTTTTCTATTCTACAATTTGTTTTTAAGTGCTCTCTTTATTATTTCCTTCCTCTGCTGGCTTTCAGTTTAGTTTTCTCTCCTTTTTCTAGGTCCTTAAGATGTAAATTTAGGTTGTTGATTTGAGAGCTATCTTTTAATGAGGAATTTACAGTCATAAAACTTCTTCTGAGCACTGGCTTTGCTGCACCCATAAGTTTGGGTGTGTTATGTTTTCATTTTCATTTATCTCATATTGCTTTCTAATTTCTCTAGTAATTTCTTCTTTGGCCTGTTGGTTGTTTGAATGTGGTGTTTAATTTCTATGCATTTTCCATTTTTCCAGTTTTCCCTTCATTGTTACTCTAGCTTTATTCCATTGTGGGCGGAAAATATACTTCATGTGATTTTGACCTTTTAAATATCTTGAGAATTGCTGTGGTTAACATATGGTCTATCCCAGAAAATGTTAAATGTGCACTTAATGTATATTCTGATGTTGCTGGATGGGGTGTTTTGGATATGTTTGTTAGGTCTAGTTCATTTATAGTGTTTTCTAGTCCTCTATTTCTTATACATTTTCTGTCTAGATGTTTTATCCATTATCTAAAGTGAGGCGTTGAAGTCTCCAACTATTTTTACACAGTTGGCCCTCCATATATGTGGGATATGCATCCATAATTCAGCCAACCATGCATAAAAAATATTTTTAAAAACAGAAAAATAATAATACAACAATAAAAATACAAGTAAAAATAAGTATAGTATAACAACTATTTACATAGCATTTACATTGTATTTGGTATTATAAATAATCTAGAAATGATTTAAAGTGTACAGAAGGATGTGTGTAGGTTATATGCAAATATGACACTATTTTATTTTAAGAGGCTTGAGCATCTGTGGATTTTGGCTTCCATAGGGGGTACTAGAACCAATCCCCCATGGGTACCAAGACATAACTATACGTAACTGTGTATGCCTCCCTGTGATTCTGTCAGTATTTACTTCACACATTTTAAGCCTCAGTATGCATGTGTGTTTCTAGTTTTCATATCTGCTTGATGATTTGAGACTTTTAGCAATATAAGATGTTACCTTTTGTCTCTTGTAACAATGTATAACAAATCTATTTTGCTGGTGATATTATAGCCACTC